TTCTAGACGTTTGCACAGGCCTCTGATCTCACCCACTCATTTTTGCCTTCTGGGATCTGCATTTATTAAACAAGCCTTGAATATTTGAGTGAATGAGTGAATGAGAACAAGATGGCTTACTCTGTGCAGAAGCTACCACCTATACCCTAATCATATATGATTATTTTATGGGAATAATTGGGATTTTGAAGGATCCTAGGGTTAACAGTAGGAATTCTAGCCATCACTACTCTGAAGAGTTCAGATTGGTAAAATACCAGATTAATTCAAAAGAGGTCCTTAATTTACCTTGCAAATATTTGGGTGGGTCAGCAGATACATTAAAATAAGTGAGTGATGGGCGCCTGGGTGGCTCAGTGGGTTAGACCTCTGCCTTTGGCTCAGGTCATGATCTCAGGGTCCTGGGATCGAGCCCCACGTCAGGCTCTCTGCTCGGCGGAGAGCCTGCTTCCCCCTCTCTCTGCCTGCATCTCTGCCTATTTGTGATCTCTCTCTCTCTGTCAAATAAATAAAATCTTAAAAAAAATAATAAGTGAGTGGGCACTTAGGTGGCTGTTGGCATTCTGTTCCCAGAGAGTGGGGCCTGGGACTTCTGCTGTCATCCCCATGCTGCTTTGCTTGCCATCATGACGCCTATATTCCTAGGAGACTTTGCTGACCTGAGTAAAGAGCACCGCACGTCAGAAACTCCCCACTGCACCAAAAAGATTCTGTTTTGAGTTTTTTTTAAATCCCAATTTGCTATTCTAAGTGGATCTGAAAAGATGATACCATTGCCAAAAAGGTCCTGATTGACTTTTGATAGTCACTAGCATATTTTTAATGGTACTAAGAGCTTTTGATAATCACTAGCACATTCTTCGTGGTACTAATCGCTGTTAAATTAGCTTTACATCGGGCTTAGAGAGTACTTAGTCAACTTGTCAGCTAAGTACTCTCTTAAGCAAACAAGTTGACTAAGTACCTATCAGAATATAGGCACTGAGGATAGAATGGAAGCTGCTAAAGCCTTTTCCCTAAGCTTGCTTTCAGACTAGCAGGGGGAGGAAGACATACATGCATGATAAATTGTGATTTCTGTAAGAGAGCTCTGTGCAAAGTACAGTGAGGCTCAGTGCACGAGGGGGTCAATTCACCTGGGGTACGACTGGAACAGGCACAGAATGTACCCCACTTCACACCTCAGGTAATATAGTTGGGGGTTTGCCAGGCAGGTGCAGATGGGAAAAGACAGGCATTCTAGTAGATGGAAGAGCATGAGCCAAGGCTCGACATTATAAGCAGCCAGGCAGTTTCTCTCAACTTCTGGTTCTAAGTGTAGAGAAGGCAGGTGGCTGGGAGGCTTTGTGAGAGATGAGGCTGGTAAAATGGACAAAAGGTAGCTCACACAGACCTTGTGTGCCCTGCAAAGGAAATTGGCTTTTACCAATTCTGTTCTACACCTGACCCCCTAGCCTGGTGCTGGGGATGCTGACCCAACTTCTGCTAAAATGACAACTGGGTGCTATAATCCCAAATGAGGCTTGTGGCTGCCCTAATTCCAGACAGATACTCCATGTACACAGTGGAAATTGCCCCATTCAGTCCAATGCTTTGCTAATCCAGGAACCCAGACATCGCCAGCATCAGCATCAGCCCTACTCAGACTTTGCTTTCCTCAAAGGGAGGAGAGACACTTCAAGGACTTTGGGTTTTACAAGACCTATCCCATTGTTTCTCCTCCTCAACCTTCCACCACACAGCCCAGCTCTACATTCGGCAGCCAACAATCGTTCCATTCATAGCTCACTCTTTGGCCTCTTAGTCTTAAAACAAAAAAAAATTTTTAAACACCTACTGGGAATAGAGAACCATTAACGAATTTTAAGCATGTGTGTGACATGATCAGCTTCTCCTTTCAGAGAGATCACTGGATCACAGCGGTGAGATGGGAGAGCCGTTGGAACCTTGCAGCAAGCCAGGTGAGAGACCGTAAAGCCTCAGTAACACAGTAGGGGTGGGCGAGAGGGGAGCACGGCACCTGTTCCCTATTCAATGTGGAAGCGGGGCACAACAAATGGCTCTAAGGCTTCGGGCTTGAGTGAGCATTGTTGGAGGAGCTTGTCTCTTCCCTACTCCACTGCTTCTATGAAGAAGGATCTTTTCTGGACTGCTGCTAGCCTTTTGCCTAAACCTTACTCCCATCCAGAGATAGAGTGAGTTCCCTGGTTAGTGGGCAGTAGCCCTTTGTCCATGTTTCTTGGGGGTGAAGTTCTTGGCGTGAAGTAATAATTGAAAGTCCAGTTTTTTCTCCTCCCTTTCATCCTTGCCCACTGAGCAGCAATGGCTTGGGTCTGTTCTACAGGTCTGATTCCCTTGGGTGGCCTGCAGTTAGAGGTAGGAAGCTGGGAATCCCATTTTCCTCATCTCTAAGTCTCTCCAAATTGCTGTTCTTCTATGATAACAGTGATTATTAATTGTTATTAATAATTACTATGTTACACTGCTGACTTCTTGACCTAATTTTGGGGAGATCTTTAAACCCCAAAGCTGTGTTGATCCGAGGTCCCTATGGGAGCTCCAGATGAAGCTGTCCAGGAGAGACAATTGGGGTGAGGGCTTTGGAAACAGGAGAGCCTGGCTAGAGACAGAAGACGTTGGTAACCACCGGCTGGGTGAGATGACCTTAGGTTGTGGACGAGCTTTGGTCCCTGCCCTGGCTTGTGTCAGTTCCCGGTGACCCTTTCTAAAATACAGACTGTCAGGCCCCAGCTCTGGAGGTAGCATGTCACGGTGTCTGGGCTGGTGAAAGGCATCTGTGTTTTCTAAGTAAGTTCAGCAGACTATATTCTGATGCTCACTGAGCAGGGTTGAGACACCCTGGTGAGAGTGGGAAGTTGGGAGAGCAGAGCCCCAGGACCCATCTACACTTAGGAAGCATGTGTGTGTTTGTACGTATCAGAGATTTTTGATCAAAAGCTACTTAGTAATGATCAAGTGACATTATTACCAGTGTGGGCCTCTTGCATTGTTAGATCTAGGGCCTAGACAGTACACAGCCTTATTATGGAAAAGACAAGCTTGTTTCTAGTGATGAGATGTTATTTTTTTAAAAATACACTGAGTGGGGGTGCCTGGGTAGCCCAAGTCAGTTGGGCATCTGACTCTTGGTTTTGGCTCAGGTCGTGATCTCAGGGTCCTTGGATCAGGCCCCACATTGGGCCCCATGCTCAGCAAGGCATCTGCTTCTCCCTTTCCCTCTCCTCCTCCCCCCATATGCATGTGTGCGGTCTCTCTCAAATAAATAAATATCTTTTTAAAAAATACACTGACAATGATCATGCATTCTTGATAACACAACGATTTTTCCCCCAACAGGATGGCAAGTCCTTGCAGTTTTAATTAGCCTCCATTTCCAATACAGGATAAGGTAATTATGACCTCCAGAAGGAAAAGAGAAAGAGTATCTTGGCATAAGCTATGAAAAGGATTATGGGAAATTCACTTGAGTCCATCTCAAGAAACTATCTGAGGAAAAGAAATGGAATCCTTTGATCGATTAACTTAAGGAATTTAATTTCATCGAAATCCTTGATTTAAGTATAAAAATGGGGTTATGCTTACACTCCTTTATTTTTTTTAAAGATTTTATTTATTTGACAGAGAGAGATCACAAGTAGGCAGAGAGGCAGGCAGAGAGAGTGGGGGATGCAGGCTCCCTGCTGAGCAGAGAGCCCGATGAGGGACTCGATCCAAGGACCCTGAAATCATGATCTGAGCCGAAGGCAGAGGCTCAACCCACTGAGCCACCCAAGTACCCCTATACTCCTTTAAAGTGATTGTGTGACCCTGGGAAAATTTCTTGGGCCTTCTGCATCTGCATTACAGATGAGTTTCCTCATCTGTAAAATGGGGGGGGGTAATAACAAGACTTCATAAGAACTTTGTAAGGATTAAATGACATAATACCTGTAAACCACGTAGCCTAGTGCTCCAGGCACATACCAAACATTCAATAAATACCAGTTTAAAAAGGCTTAGACCAGTGACTAAACAGCACTACTACTTACAGACAGTACTAGCTTACCACTCAGTCTTCTAACGCGGGACTACCACACATTAACTTAATGCATATTACTCATGCCTCCAGGAATAAGAGAATTTTCCTGGGTTGGAGAATAGACCACTTTCATGACAGACCACATTCCTTGGCTATTTGAAAGATTAGCTTCAATGATTGCTTTGAAAATGTACCTCCCCGAGAGCTTATTAGAGGTGTGCTTGGATCTGGCCAGATGGCATCATAGTCCAGCTTGGCACATGTCTGCCTTGCTTTGTGAGGGCGAGAAATAAAAATAAGGAGGTCTTGTAACCATTGTTATCCAACAGTGCTGGGGAATTATAGGTATTCTGGTTAATCAATTATTCATCCATCAGTTCAATAAATGAACATCCACTTTGTGCTGGACAGAGTGCTAGCTGCTGAGGATACAAAGATAAATTAATTCCTTTCCTCTAAGAAACCTACAATTTAACGAAAGGACAGACAAGTAAATATGTACTACAATTTAAAGGACAATTTCCATGACTGGGGGTATGTGTAAAATGCCCCTTCCGGTTGCCTAGACAAGTGGATATGTGGTGATATCACTCTTCCAATCTGGGACACCATTTAGAGGAGGAGAATTGAGGGCAGAAGGTAGTGAATTGGGGTTTTGCTCTATTGTTTGAATTGCTTGTGCACCCTCGGAACCAAGATGAATGGGTGGGTCTAAAACTAAGAGAGTGGTCAAGGTTAAAGACCCAGATTTGGAGGTCATCATACACAAGTGGCAGCTGATGGACATGGATGATAGTACCTTGGAAGAATGTTAGGGTTGAGAGATACTGTGACACACTATCATTTAAAGGGCAGGAAGGGGAAGAGGGGGCAGAAAGGAAAACAAAGAAGGAACAGAGAGGTAGAACAGGAACCAAGAGAGAATGACAGGATCAGAAAAACCAAGTGAGGATTTTTAAGATAGTCTCAATATTTTCAAAGTATAAGTTTAATGACAGTTAGTTGGCTACTATTCCATAAAAGGATTACTCTATTTCCAAAGAATTTGTACAGTGTCTTACACATGTGTTAAGAGATTGAAAATAAATTAGAACATGATAAATGCACACTTAATGCTAAAACTACGAGCACAAGGTAACCTCTAGATAGTTTGGAAGGCACTTTGGGGTTTTCTCAGTGCCTCAGGGCACCATTATGAACTCTAGCTATTGTCCTGCTCAAGTGTGGGAGGGCTGACAAATGGAGCATTGATTGACTTCTGGATAAACCAACTTTCCCTCCCAATGGGAGGGCTCACTCACAGCAACAGAAAAGGGTATCCAGATCCCAGCTCAGGCTAGGAAGCCAACTGACTCAATCAGGGGCATGAACCCAGCAGGAAAAACTGAAAACATTTCATCCTTCCAGTTCCCCCACCCCCTTGCCTATCATGTGAGACTTGTCACTAAAGGGAAGTTCAGAAAGCAAATCAACCTCCCATCCCATATCCCAACATACCAAAAATGATTGGGACATCTGTACACATGTGTTTCAAGGCCTCCCGATAGCTGTCCAAACACTTGGATCTGAGTTCATAATGGCGTGACATACACTTGACATAATCAGTTTAATAGAGCCAAGAGAACCTGATTTAGAAACTTGTTTCTAAGGCTGAGCCTCTCCTAGGAGGGAACCTCTTGCCTTAAGGAGGGATTGTCACTGATGTTCTAGGCACAGGGGCTAACTGGATTAATCATGGGTCTCCTGGGCTCTGACTGTGAGATCACTCTATGCTTTGAGTTTTCCAGCTGTCAATTCTGTTACTGTCCCATCAAAGACAACAAGTAAACTTGAGTCAAGGTGTCAGGGGATTGTTGTCCCCAGACTGCCAGGTTCCGGCACTGCCTGACCATGGATGGTCTGGCAAAGAACGAGAGCTTTTCCAAGACAATCAAGACAGTCCACATGGGAATAATTCCCCACCTGTCCCTGCTGAGTGGGATTACTGGGTTTAGAGGCATTTGTTGAACGGTACAGCTCCCAATAAGAAGGGGGTGGGAAAAGGGATAGGAAAAGGGGGAAGGTGCTGGTGGGAGGGGGCCAGGGCTGCTTGCCGCCCCCCGGGGCTATCTGCAGGGCAGTGGGCAGCTATGATTGTGCTTTCATCCACCAGCCGGAGTCGGAGCTACTCATCATCATCATCACTGTCATCATTAGACTCCTCATCAGAATTATCACCATCATCATCGTCCTCATCCTCATCGTCGCCGCCATCATCCCCATCTTCATTGTCATCATCTTCAGTGTTTATCTTTCCAGAAAGCACATCTTCGATCCAGTCCTCCAGCTCCTCGGCTGTGGGCAGGTCATCGTCATCAGGGATCTCCATCCAGACACTGTCAGCCTGCAGCGAGGGACAGAGTGAGTGAGTAGTGATGGAAGGACCAGCCAGACCAGAGGATTCCAAGCAGCTGGGCCCTGTCATCGGGAACATGTGCACACGGTTTCATGGGAATGCCTCGATGCAGAATGCTATGTGTAGCAGCCTGCTTGTGTGATGTCAAAGGAAGCGTGTGTTCCAGTGTGTGTGTGTGTGTGTGTGTGTGATGTGCCCACAGAAGTCTCTGGGGAAGGAGAGCAGGTATGGAGGTGAGGCTTTGAGGATTGGCAGGGGAATGAGCCAGGCCCAGCATACCAGGACTGGTAGCTGCTCCCACCCCACCCCTCTTTGAAAGGCCATCTTCCCTACCTTCTGCCTTACCCCCCCACCCTGAAGTAGTCCCTCCAGATCAGCAGCACTGCCTGGCAGAGTCCCCATCCCACCCTAAACTGCCTGCCCTCCTGATCCCCGCCATTAGGTCTGGAAAGTGCTGGGGGTGGCGGGGGAGGTAGCCCAGATTAGAACAGTTCCCAGGGGTATCGAAATCAAGTATTATTATGAATCATAACTATATTTGCACTGTTTTTTTCTTCTGATTTCATGACCGTATCTACAAGATACTTATGTAATAATAATGACAAACATGTATATGATGTTTCCGGTAGGATAGCCATGAAACTATCACCAATGTGTTTCCCTCAGGGAATGGGACTAAGAAAGAGGTCAGGGGAGTGGGAAATACTTTTGCTTTTCACCATATATATTTCAAATGTTCCATTTATAAATGTTTTAACTGGAGTAAATTTTTGACAGTATTAATTACTATTATTAATTTAAAAAGCAGTGTACAGAATAAATAAATGTAGAATCCCCCAGGTGACCAAACGTCCACAAACAGGATAACAGGACATTGCTAACTGGCCCCCACTCACAAGCATTCCCACCACAATTAATTATGCCTCTAATGACTTCTCTGTGACCATCTCTTTCTGTCCATTATTTATTTGCTCATTATCTGTTGTATTTGTCTTCCCTTCTGTTTTGTTATGATGGAGTTGTATCAGCAGTCAAGACTGAGGTTCAAAATTCCCCACGATCTGCTGGTCTACTACACACCAGCTTTTTCCACCCTCGGTTCCAGCTGTCTGCCTGGTGAGGGGTGGCCCTCCACCTCATTCATGATCTTCCTCCTTCCCCCCACTGCCGTAGCCCCCTCCATCACCCCCTGTGCAATGGCAGCTTCACGTGTGGGTTCCTTTGTGTAAGAATAGTTTGTTGTTGGGCCTTAGGAGAAAATACAGGGTGGAAAGTTGGTGGAAATACTTGGGTAGAAAGTTCCAAAGAGTCAGTAAAACAGGATGGGCTGGCCCCGTAAAGGAAACGTGCCCACGCATTTCCCAGGAAGTGCCCAGTCCTGAAGCCATAGATTGAGACAGGCTCAGAGACTAGGCTGGGGACACACAGAGCTTGTGCAAGGCCAAGGGTCCTGCTCATTTCAGGGGAGGCTAGACTCCTATCCATGGGGTCACAGTCTGGGCTGCATGGCAGAAAACAGGACAGGTTAGCAGTGACCGGGGTATACTCACATCTGTCACATTCACCACCCCAATCTGTGGCTTGAATAGATCAATCTTGAAAGTCTTTTCCCAATAGGCAACGAGCTGAATAACAAAAAATAAGATTAGACAGCAGGCAGAGGGCATTCCCTGTCAAAGCCACATTTTGTGGCTGGACCCACCTGCCATCCCTTCATCGGTCACCGTCGCTTAAAGGTTTCCAAGACAGCTGTGGGCACTTCAGAAATTGAAGCCTTGGCCTCACCCTCAAACACTTTAAATAAGTGTGGAAAAAAAAGAGGTCATAACACCAACTATGAAAACATGTACTATAAAAGCTTCTACAGCTGTAAGGAAGAATATTACAGAGATGGCCCAATGTCAATTCCCAAATGACCGTGGCTCTTTTATACCTCATGAGTGGTCAGGGAGCCATTTTCCTTCACTTCTCTTTCAATGTCCCATTTAAAAATCCCTTACCTTGCACTACTCGGATCCACAAGGTGGTGGGGGGTGGTGGTGGTGAAGACAAGGAAGTGTCATGCAAGTAAAGGGAGGGTTTTTTTGTTCACCAGGCTTGGGATCTGCAGGGACTAATCCCTGACTGGGACAGGGCTAAAGGAATCAGGGGCCCTGCGGCTAAGACAATGCAAATAAATGTTCAGTGGCAAAAAGTCTCCAGCGCAAATAAGTGGCCTGATGGGGAGCGGGGATGGTCAGGAACCCGGATATTCAAACAGTCTGGAGATTTCTCCTTTGCAAACACCAAGGCAAACAAACATACAGAGCAGGTTGGGACCACTGCAGACCATCTGCAAGCTTACACAACAGAACAGTCCAGATAAAATCAAAATATAGCCAGGCAGAGGCTAACTAAAAAGTTATACTAGGGGTGTCTGGGTGGCTCAGTTGGTTAAACGTCTGCCTCCGGTTCAGGTCATGATCCCAGGGTCCTGGGATTGAGCCCTGCATCAGGCTCCCTGCTCAGCTGGAAATCTGCTTCTCCCTCTGCCCCTCTTGCTGCTCATTGCGCTCTCTCTCTCAAATAAATAACATCTTTTTAAAAAAGTTACAGTATTTAGGGTCTTATGAGGCCATGACTTTGTTACGATCACCCAAGAATTACTTTCATGATATCTAAAGTATCAGATATCATGAAAGTCTCTGCCTCTGTCTTATTCTGTAAGTAAGACTGGTTTTCAGGACCCTTGAAATCATTCAACTCCCCCAATTTGACTATTTAATCATGATATGATTGGTCAGGTCCTATGCAACAAACAATAATTCCCAGAAGAATTATATCATTTATAACCTAATGATAACTAAACATGTTCTGATTACCAGCAGTTAGCTCTACCTAAAGTCTATTGACTGACTAGTAGACAAATCTTTGGCATCAGACAGATCTGGGTTGTGATATCTCATCTCCCACTTAGTAGCTTTGTTTTCATCTGTCAGATGGGGATTATGACGGTCCCTGCCTCACAGGGTTGATAGGAAGGTTCAATGAGATGGTGCCTGTAAATAATTTACTATACTTCCAGGCATACAGTATATTGGCTACATCCATTGTCATCACCACTGGGCTCCTGTTTATTCCCTTTAAAAAGGCTTTCTGACCATTGCTCACTGACACTAGCAAGAGTCTGGACCTTAACTTTCTTACACATTCAACATGCTAGGACCTGGGAGAACACAATGAACAAGATAGAGTTTCTGCTCTCTGAGAGGCTGCTCCTGCTCTCCACGAAGTTCTTCACCCTATGCAAAATGGTCAAGTCTAATTTTTATTACTTAGCAACTCAGGTTGCCTATGAATGATGGTCCCCACCCAAAACATGAAAGAGGCTATAACAAGGGAGGTGGTGGGATGGGGGACAGGAATGGAAGTACTAGTAGAAGAATTTCACCCAGCTCACTCATGTGGGTGGTTCAGATCCCTGGTCTCCAGGGAGTGAGAATGGTGGGTCTAACCATGGCAGTGCCAGCACCCAGTATGAAGGTCAATGGTGTCCCACCATGTTGCCAAGGTCTTCCACATGAGATACAAGTGGTCACACTGTGTTTCTGCACATGCTCCTCCTAGTGCACACCCTCCTTCATGCTTCTGGGTCTCATACCGAACACACACACGAGACTATGAAGGTGACCAAGACCAGTGCCCAGGGCTGAGCCACTCACCAGAGGAAAGTCATCCGGGTCGATCCACACAATGCTCAGGTCAGGGTTGTCGGTGTTGTCCCTGGCAACCTGTTTCAGGATTTCCAGGAACTCGTAGCCATCTGAAGCAGGATTCGAGAAGTCTGAGTAACCCCTGTACATACATGGCTTCCGGCATGTGGAGCCAGGAGTGTGGTCTTTCCACGAGAGTTTCTTAGGCCATTTGGTGCATACCCTCAATTATAGGATTATTCTACAAAGTGAGTCAGAGGAGAACTCCAGCCACGAAGCAGCTTACTCAAAGGAAACAATAAAAATTTTAAATAAAAAATATTAAAAGTTCACAGGGAAGTGGATGATTCTTAAAGCCGGGTTCCATTTGCTGATCAGATCAGAGGAACTCCTGCCTGGTCCTCAGTGCTCTGTGCCTTCTCTTGAAACCAACAATTTGCTATCACTCAGAGTTCTACAGACCAAGAACATGTAGCCTGGACCCTTAGTCTTCTGCAACCTGGAATCTGTAAAACCTTCAAACGAAGCTTCTGATTTAAAGCTGGTTTCATAGCTTTGAGATAGTAAATGGGGTTTCCCTCCCTCTCTCACCATTTCCTGGTATGCTCTGCCCTCCCTCTCTTCAAGCAACAGCATTTATGGCCCCCAGGGGAGGGATGATTCATAAGAAAAGCAGAGACAAGCCCTGTGAGCCTCAAGAACACAATTTTTTTTAAATAAAAACAACAACAACAACAACAACAAACTAAAGCCTAAACCTTTAAGGACTGGTAGCATAAAATTTATACCATAAACAAAAAGTTTTGGAAGAACATTTAGTAAGAGAAAGCACACCCTAAACCCTCAGCATCCCCACCCCACTCCCAGCTAGAAACAAAGATTCTGGAAAGTCCCTGAGAAGAAGCTCTGCGCCTGTGTGTATGTGGGCGCGCATGCGTGCGCACAGATGCAAGCCAGGGTGCGCATGTGCATGTGTGTCCACACGAAGAAAGTCCAGCTCCAGGCGATCTCAGAGCATAGGGCACTCATGCTGTGTTTCGGAATGAAACTCTGGGAAATGGAAAGGCCTCCAAATCTTTTGCAGAACCCCTTGGTGCAGCAGCATGAGGGCAGAAAAGTCTGCCAGGAGGCCCCACCAGTTCTCTGTGGCTCTGAACATGCACGAAGCCATGGCTGGGATGGACAGGACAGTGGTGGGAACAAGGGCTAGAGGCCACACGGAACCACAGCCAACTCCAACAAGATGTATCCCCCACCTGTCTACGCCTGGGAAGCCGCGAGACACCAGACCTCTCGAGACGGTGAGGTGAAGTTGGGGGGCCATCCATGACCAGACCCAGTTCCCATTGGGTACAATACAGGTTTGATTCTAGACAGCAAAGTTATATTTCTGGCCTGGTTGAACGTGTGACCTGAAATCTATACCTTTTCTACCAGCAACTTTCCCCAACTATCTCAGAATTCCCTCTGGCGCTGCTTTTTCTTTGTAAATGTTTCTTCTTTTGCCTGCGGTCCCAGCCACTTTGAGCCCTTCTTTTTAACAAGTCTCTTCTCTTTCCAGGAGCTTTAGCCTTTGTTTGGCTACTTGGGGCCTCTGGGTAAAGGGTTTTCTCTGCACTTCCTCATCTCCTATACATTCCAAGTAAAAAGCATTGCCATTCTTGGCACTTCTGCTTTGAGTGGGTGAAATCACTTTCAATGTTGCTAACTCCCCACTACTAACTGTAAGATCTAGACTGGGCCCCCTCGACCTTGCTACCTGGAAAGCAGAGGTACTGTTGGGAGAGAAGAGGCCACAGCCCCTTCCTGCGGAGCTGTGCTCTGCCTGTGTGATTTTTCCATCTATTGCAGAATTACAGGTTTTCCCCCAATATCCAAAAGTAGAATATTCCTAAGAACCAAAATGTTGTAAAGTGAAGAAGCAATAACATGTCATAAAATCAAAAATCCTCTTGGGACTTCTTTTCATCAGCAAAAACAGATACTAATGTGGGTATTTTGTAAAAGCAAAGCAACATAATGAGAATGTTGGGAGAGCGAGGGAAGACTGTGTATCACTAGTCTCCAGGTATGGCAGACACCTGGGGTGAATAGAGCCACAGGCTTTAGAGTTCATTATCATTGTGGGAATTGTGTGGAGATGGGGTTGGGGTATATTACTCCTGCCTCCTGTAGGAGTGGCTGAGAAGGTCAAACCCCTCCAGAGTTCCACTGGCCCCTGCTATTTGAACCTTATAGCTCCTCCTTCCCTGGGCATAGAACTGTGTCAAAACAGGGAATCTGTGGATCATGTGTCATAATACACAGACCACAATGGGAAATTCTCCAAAACACTTTCCATGACTACTTTCAAGAACCAGAAGGAAGTATTCTAGAAGGTGAGAACCAAATGCAAAAGTGAACTTGATAAATCAGAAATTCACGAAGAGGCTAAAATTCAAAGACACAGACCCTGATTCACATAGAAAGTACATCTGAGGATCAAAAGACAGACTTGAATAAAGGGAGGGGAGAAGCCATCTAGGCACCATATTGTAGAGGGACAAAGGCGTCATGAGTACTATAGCTGAACACGCAAGAAAGCATGGTAGGTTTCTGATAGAAAACCCCACAGAATGTTGGAACTAATGAGAAGGAATGATGCATATAGATCTTTTCTACTCTACATGCTAGAGCAGGTTTGGAGATAAAAATGAAAAGATAGAAGGAATAAAAAATGGGTTCTGCTAGAAAACTTAAATGGGTGGCAGTTTTTTTATGTAAACAAGAAAAGTCAAATTTTTCGCTTAGTGCTTAATTTTAGGAATACGAAACGTTTTTAAGTCCACAGAGGAGTAAGGAAAATTCAAAAAACATTCACAAAATACATCAATAAATGAGGCTGACATTAAAGCAGGAGAAACCTCATCTAGATCCAAGCGCAGCTTTTTGACTTTTGAGATGATGAATTCCATAATGGACATAATCCTTCTGCATTCCTGGATATTTTCAAAGAACAGAACGGAGGGGAGGCAGCCCAAAATGATGCTTAAACACACAGACATTGGTGCAAACAACCTTGGTCCAAATCCTGGTTCTGTCATTTTGAGTGTGACTTTGGGCAAGTTATTTAAGTCTTGGTCCCTCATCCATAAAATTGGGATGATGATAATAAAAGTACCTATTTCATAAGGTGGTTGTAGGTTACATGAGTTAGTACCCTCTAAATCACTGAGACAGTGCCTAGCACAGAGTAAGTTTAAGCCATTATTCCTAAATGATCTGGATTTTTCTGCCTGAACACAAGGAACCTGGCCATTCATCTCTCCATTCAGGGCATAGGTAACAAGTACAATGATCTGGGCATAAGCAGTGTGTTTGATACAGTCTCGGCACCACACAGTAGAGAAGACAGGCTCGTAGGAAGTCACGCCAGGAGATAGTATGTCATGGGGTGGTTCCTTCTGGCCCCTGCTCATGATTCTATGACTGAAGGCCTCAGGGGTGGCTGTGCCAGCAGTTGTGAATATGAGAACCTTGCCCCAATATGTGGATTAGAGCAAGGTTTAATTCCTTTATTTTAAAGTCATTAAGCTAATTTGGATATTCCTGATTCAAGGTTCACAAGCCTGATACATTCTCTCCCCTTTTATTCGCAGCCTTGGATGTGGACCTGCTGGAATGGATTCTCTTGCATCTGGGAAAGCTGAGTTAAGGCAGCTGAACTGGTCTCCCAGGTATTTAATTGTTAAAATTGCAAGTTACAAGTTCAATTTCCTCTTAGGGAGAGCTTCTGTTTCTTTGTAAAACAGGTGTCCAGGCAGTTGTCTTGGAGAAGGGAAACAGCCACCGTGGACTCTCCCTTTTTGACCAGGAAGGCAGGCGCAGGAAGCCATATTTCACTTTTGTAATTCAGTTTAAAGACCAAGACGAGTCCACAATTGCGATTGCATGAATGAATGGATGGATTTGAATGGATAAATGTTTCCTTCATCAGTGATACCCTAAACTTAGAGCCCTTTTGAAACTGTGGCCATGTATCTTTCAGGAGGAAGAGTCCATAATATTTCTAAAAAGCTAGATTTCTTTTTAAAAGGAGGAAATATTATTCCATGATTTGGGGGCTAGCGATTATTTCATCACCAAAACTAGAGGACTAGTCAATGTTTTTAATCTTCACATCTAGTCCTGATGGCAACAGGAAGATTTTCTTATTTGCATTTTAAAGATGATGGAGTTGAGACACAGATAGAGTACGTGGCTTGCCAAGCATCACATGGGAGCAAGTGGAAGAGCCAGGATTCTAACTCAGTTCTTTGGTCTGCAGGTCTAGAACCATTTCCACAATCACTTTTCCTCCCCGTTCTTGGCATTCCTGCCAAAGCTATTGCCATCTTCCTTCCTCAAGATTGTGCTTGAGATTTGTGAGCTGAGTGGGAAAGCTTCCATAGGAGGGAAACAAGAAGGCAGCAGGGGGGCAGAACCCTCTGGAGGACGGAGCCCCTCTCCCTCCACCCCCATGCTGCTGAGCACCCTCCTCCTCCTGGCCACACTGTTACTGTGTTGGGTGGGTGGGTTAAAGTCAGCGAGGTCCCTAAGTGACTGGAGTCTCAGAGATCCACCTAAATAAATAAGAGGGACATGGTGTTGTGAGAACCGTGACTCCCTCCCATGCCACACTGACTTGGAACCTAAAGTCCCACGACCCAGGGCTGAGGGCTCGTGTGGAGCCAGGTTTCCCACGGTGAGCAAGAGGCCTCTGGGAATCCCATCTCTGTGGGAGGGGAAACCGGTGATTATGCTCTCCTCCTTCCCAGGCAGGGAGGATCTGGTGGGAATGAGGCTGCACCAAGCCCTGGGGGACCAGTTCCAAGCCACTCAAAACCCTGTCAGACCAGGGCTGGGTCTGGCAGAGAAGTGGGTATCTTAGAGCACAGACTAAGAGCTGGGAGCCTGGGTTTGAATCCCAGTTCTACCACTTATTAGCTGTGTGACCTGGTGACATTATTTAACTTCCTATACCCCTGCTTCCTCATCTGTACATCGGGGAAGACTGTAAGGATGGTACCTAAGACACAGGGTTGTTGGGAAGATTACATGCATGGTTAGCACTGAGCAAGAACCAAAAGTCAAATTTGATAAACCAGATTTACATTGGGAAGCTCAAATAAACAGTCAGCACTCTTACTTAAGACAACTGATCTCAGAAACATTTTCCAAGAACCCCAGGCAGTTGCAATCCTGTCGGAACAGGGCTTGGAGATGTTCACTGCAGGGCCAATCCACGCGTGCACACAGCAGCCTATCCTTGCATTTCCAGCTTGTTAGTGCTAATGTTCCCTGGGCCCTTAGAGGATATCCATCCAGCATGCGCTCATGTAGAAACGCCGCTCCTCGAACCTTTCAGCAGGTGTTATAAAGAAGATGTCAGCCTGATGCAGACACATCTGGGGGCAGCAGAGGAGAGGTGCTCATTTTCAAACCTGTCAAACAGCAGCTCCAGGGGCATCCTGAGCGCAGGAGCTGGACAGGCCCTGAAGGAGGAAGACCGAGCAGCATGCAGGGCCTGGGGCAAGAGCAGAGAGCCCAGGCTCGTCCTTCCAGGGCCCAGAGAGCGGACACTCCAGCCTTGGGAGCAAGCTCACAGCTGGCAGTGTTGGAACTGCTCAGAGAAGCGCCCCCCGGGGACTCAGGTCACTCGGATAGTCAGTTGAATTCCAAATCTGGGAACATCAGTGGACAGCAGGGAGAACAGCTGACTTCTCTTCTTTAATTGGCTCTCAAGCTTCCAGGTGGCTGCGTTCTCCTGCTCTCCCTGCCCCCCTCCCCCAACAGTGCAGCAGCATCACTGGGCGTGCTCAGAGCCAGCCTCGGGCCGCGCAGTCCCGCAGGTAGTGGGCTCAGCTGCACTGGGTGCTGAAGAGCCGGAAAGAAATCTAAGTTCGTGTGTCCACTGTGCCCCTAGCCGCGTGATCTCAAGCAAGTCACCAAACTTCTCTGGGTCTTGCTCATGGTGAGGTGGCGGGGTGATGAAGGGTGGGAGAGAGGAAGGAGGGCAGGCTGAAGGATCACTGGAGGAGGTCGCCAGGGCTAGTAAGTGCAAGGGGCCCTCAAGTCTACAGCAAGGCCTCCTGTCACCGTGAAGGAAGTCAGACAGCCCTCAGCTTCGTTCTTGGTCTCAGCCTCCTCACTTGTAAAATGGGAATAAAACGAGCAGCGCCCACATGGGGTTCTGGCCCGTAAGCATACAAGAAGTGATCAAGAAGTGATCATCACCAGCCTCATCATCATCAGGCCATGGTCAGAGGTCAATAAAGCCTGCCAGGATTTGAATCACAGCAAGCGATCTGGGCCCTTTAACCTCTCAGACCACTTTTCTCCTCTGAGCTGGGATGGCAATAATCACGCATTTATCACAGTCTGGCTTTAGGGACCCAACGAGATCATCTCCGTACAGCACAGTTCCTTGAGACTGTTAGCTCTTTCAGGAGAGCTGTATGGACTTCCCGGACAGATGACCGTCTGTCTTTAGCCGGTGGGCAGGGGTCCCGTTGGGGCAGTCGGCCAGGTCCAGCGAGAGCAGAAGTATAAAAGGAACCGCTGTCTGGGCAGCAGTGAAATTCCTGGTCCTACAGCCACGCCCCCTCTGCCCCCGGGTCACACATCAGTGACCTTCGGGTAATGACTGACTAGCTGCAGCGTCAGGACTTTCACAGAAAAGCCTTTCCTAGCCCTGAGTGGGCCAGGCCCTCCCTGGATGAAAAAATACACTTCGATCCCCCACACATTGCCCACCCCCCTTCAGTGCGTTTCTTCCAGCTTCCCAGGAACAAGCCCCAGCTTGGGCTCCTCTGGGGAAAGACGCAGCTTCAGGCCCAAGGATATTTGTGCAAGGAGGAGGTGGAAGTAGTTTCAGGAGCTTGATTCATTGCAGCAGCAATCTCGGTCAAACAGGTTCCAGCAACTTCTTGCAGGCTTCTTTGTTCCATTGTTCCAGAGGGCCAGACAGGCTTCCCCACAATCCTGGAAGAGGGCAGGTGGGGCAGAGGGAGGAAGCCCGCTGGGGTCTGGCCAGCAGGCTGCTGCTGATGGCAATTTCATCTCTGTTCACACAACACCAGGGATCCGACTCTGTTTGATTATAGCTTATAAACCCTGGGCAATTGGCTTCCTTCGGTATTTTCCCCTACAGGGGCAGAGGGGTGGCCAGAAAATGTTGGAACCATACTGGCATTTTTTTTTTTTTTTTTCAGACAAAGGCTAGATATCCTTCAAGAGTTTTGCCAACTCTGCAAGTCAATGATGGGAAAAGTGAGACCTCAGTGAGCATTCAAAAACTAGTAAAAACAAAGGGGGGAGGAAACCCTCAAATAATTTGGAGCATCAATTTGGTTTTGATACAATGGAACATTGTTTGGCCCTAAAAAGAAGTGAATTACTGATATGTGCTACATATTGGATGAATCTTGAACACATTATGGTAAGTGAAAGGGGCCAGGCATAAAAGGCCACAGATTACATAATTCCAATCACATGGAATGTCCACGATAATCAAATCCATAGAGATAGAAAGTAGATTTGTGGTTGCCAGGGACTGGGGGAAGGAGGAAGAAATGGGAGGGACTGCCAACGGGTATGGGGTTTCCTTTTGAGGTGATAAAAATGTTCCGGATTAGTGTACAACTGTGTGAATACACTAAAATTACCACCGAATCGCACACTTTAAAAAGGTGAATACTGTCATGTGTGGATTATCTCTCAAGATTAAAAACTGTATGATAATAGCATTTAGGTTTCCATCTGTAGGAACTATGGAAGCTAAGAGTGTATTAACATCAACAACAAAAACAGGAGTGGGGTTGAAGTGTTGGGGCTCAGTCTTGGTCAGTCATCCGCTTATCCTATCACCTCCTGACAGCTGCTTATTGAGTACATACTATGTGTCAAGGTGCTGTACAAGGACCAGGTACATACTGAGGACCAAGACAACCTGGGGCTCCTTCATGGCCCACTATGAACTCCTTGTGCCCTCTTGGGCAGATTGCTCAACTCCTTGAAGCTTCCTCGTCTGTCCCTGTGAGTGTACAAGAGGTCTCCGGCAAATACCACAGTTCTGCAGTACCTGGGGCCATGGTTCCTAAACCGGATGGTGCCTTAACACTTGCCTCTGAGCTCTGTGCAATTACAGGTTTCGGAAGGTCCTGTTATAATCAGCCCCAGGTGGCTTTGGTTCTCATGCTGTCACGTTTGGGGACCTCATGGCCCAAGGCTGGCTGCTGAGCCATCCTAAATGAAGTTCCTTGCCTTCTCTGTGTGTTGTCTAGATCGTGCCTAGTCTCCCCATATGTGCCGCAGAATGCCCACTTATGCTTTGGGGACCCTTTATGTCACAGCATTGCCAGAGGGACTCAGCATTCTACAGCCAGCAATATTGATTTTTCCTGCACTTCCCTCTCCACCGATGCTAAAAAGAATGTGACCAGGAAAAAGTCATCCAGGTTCCAAAATAAAACAAAGCTGCTCATCCGTTTATAGGGTCATTTTGCACTTTAGAAATTAACTGCCAGTTTTGTCCAAGCCTCACTCTTTGAGGGAGTGTTTTCTATTAAGTTTCCCAAGCACAGACCATATTTTACAAAGCAAAGCATACTTTGGTTGTAGTTGAAATGTAGGATTGTTATTTATATAGACTAGATCATAATACTGTTAAATAAACTTTTAATGTGGACGGACATTTCTCTCTCCCTCTCTCTCACATGCACACATGCGTGCACGCGCATACACCGTGTAAAGCTAGGATGTTTTTATATCCCTCCAGTACTCAGTGCTTCTTCCTAGTTTGGACAGCCAAGCAGAAAAGAACGAGGCTCTGATCCATCCACATGTCTTAGCTGTGTGCACAACTGACAACAGACTCACACCTAACTGGCGACCACCAGGGGGTGCCCAATATCTTGCAGTGGACTTGCAGACAAGCACTGAGGCAAGAGCAAGGAAGGAGGGCTGGCAAAGGGGAGAAGTCAGATCTTGCTTAAGGTGTCAAGGGACAGATGGGGGTTTCCTACCTGGGTCACTCCTCTCTGCAAAGGCCACAATGTGGATCCCATTCAAATCGTCTTCCTGGAGGAGAGAAGAATCAGAGGTTACACTCCCAGGTGGAGAGATAGAAAGGAACAAGTCAGGGACAGAGACGAAGGGTGGCATGGAAATGGGAAGCGGGGAGGTGTTGGGGTAGTGGACATGGGGCAGGGGAACTGAGGGGTGCACAGTAAGGAGGGAAATATTGATGAGCAACTGGGCAGAATGCGTGCCGTTTGATCCATGGGTTTACAAGACAGGAGAACACCCACTACACACAAGACATCAGCACTGAATGGGCCTCACTCCTGTGGGCTGTGGGGTCCAGGACAGCAGCAGTAAAAGGCAAAAGGAGGAAAAACATGATTGTGGTTATTAGGAGCTCCAAGGGCAACAATCACTCTGAATATAGCTCGGTAAATTGTCAGTCTGTGTTTTGAGAATTCACCACCCGCAACCAGCAATTACGGGAAAGTCTGAATGCCCTCGACAAATCCTGAAACGGTCCCCAGACTGGCAGCAGACAGGAATCTTCTAGGTCAATGAAGACGTGGGTCTCTTCTGTTCACGCAAGAATCATATACAAATGTAGGGCTCCTCTGTGAACACTCCTCCTACTGAAAAACCTGTGTAGTCAGTAAGGGGTGCCTTGCTGATTATGGCATCCAGGTTCCCACCTTGGGGTCCTTTCTGCTCAGGTCCAAATTTTGCTGAGGGCCTCTAACACGTTTCTGGGAGTGTGGGAGGCTATGGGAAAAGTGGATTTGGGAACTAGGGAAAGTTGAGGGTGTGACGTGGCACGTGGGTGTGGCTGCGGTGGCTGAGGCCAAGGCCAAGAATTCAGTGAGTATGTCACATCCCTGAGCAAGCAAACAGCATTGCATAGTTCTATGTTCTGGACAGAAAGGACCGTACACCTGTGTCTCCTTTGCACCAATTCTTTGTGCCTCTTTTGGAGGAGGCTTTGTTGTGAGCAATGTGATTACCAAAAAAACATGGAGAGGAAGATGTTTAAGAAGGAGGCACCCGGGACAAATCTGAGTGAATACCGATTATCACTGACACAGGGAAAGGGAGTCACAGGGTATCCAGGATAGCATATCAGAATCATCCTGTGGAAAAAACTCCAGGCATCTCCCCGCTCCCATGATCCCCGTTTCCATTTCAATTGATTTTAATGCTGGTGCAATCCTATCTAAATGCTAATTTTTCCCCTTTGAGTTTGGAATGGATAAAAGCTCCAAAAATTCTGAGAGATTAAATGGAAAATATTATTATTAAAAACAAGAGAGTGGGCATGGGCTTGGTCAGATGCTCTGGGGAATTGAATTTTACAGATATATGTGTGTGCGTGTGCATGTGTGTGCAGGTTTATTACACAAATCCGACACCAACCAGAAGGGGAGTCCAAGGTTTCACTGTTTTACATTTGCTATTATCGCCAGACAGAATATCCTGATCAGTTCTCATTAGGCTGTCCTGTGTCTCTGTCTCCTGCCATCAGCAGGAAGTGAGCAGTGTTAACTCTGTGAAGCAGGCTTCAATTCTGTGTGCCCTTCTAGAACACATTTGAAATTGCTTTTGGAATTAAGAATCCATATTCGTTTGTTAAGAGGCTGCTCACAATGTGGCTGTCACTCCCCAGGCCCAAGATGGTGCCTGGATGGAGGGCTCTCATCCAGTCAAAGAACCCGTCTCTTTGTAGGGATCAAAGAGTCAGTTCACAAACCTGTAGAGAACACTGGCAAAGAGGCAGGTGCCTGCTTGGGGCCGGGTATTTTCAGTAATAAACTCACAGAGCAAGAATCCATGGGGGAAGCGTATAAATCAGGGTTCCTCAGTGAGAATCCAGTGTGCACAGGGGAGGAAGAGCCAAGCTGACCATGCATAGGACTGAGACCCCCTTGGGGGGCCTTCTCTGATCCCCACAGCCTATGCTCCAGATCACCCATTTAGCCTTTGGATCACATTGCCTTGGAAACTCTCTTTTTAATAGCACAAATCTTACCTTCTCAACCAGATGGCAAGCTCTCTGAGGGAAAGGATTATGCCTTAAAAGCAAGGATAATTACAATGGCCACAATAGTATCTGCCCCCTGCCTTTCTTTGTATCAGTTCTTTACAAGTATGTCATTTCTAAACCGCAAATGAAAGTCTTATTCCTATTTAGTGCTTAAAGAATTGAAGTGACTTACCTAACGCCACAGAACTGGTACGTGACATAACTGGGATTCAAGCCCGTTCTGTCTGGCCCCACGTGCTTTTTCTTTCTCACTGAAGGGGTCCAGAATAAGCCACTGTGGCATAAAAATTATTTTGGGCTGAAAGCATATGAATTCCTGAATGCCTTATCTACCTAAAAACAGAGAATCCCAAAAGAACTCAATTGTCATAAACCCATACTCAAGAACCGTTCTAATTTCTCTTCTTAGACAGATATTATCACAGAACTAGCAAATCTCCCATCTATTCCCCAAGGGCCCGTTTCTTTATCCAAAGACATGGTTTGTTTTTCCATAAATTCCCTTTCTCCCCAACCTTCTAACAAGTCATTTTTTCTCCCAGAAGTGCCTCTTGCCTCTTCCATTTCCAATTAAGTTGGTATATAAGCCCCTTGTTGAGTCACATTTCCTTGTAAACTCCCTTGCATAAATGGGTCATTAAATCTGTCTTTTGCCCATGCTCATCTGTGTTTTGTCAGTTTAATTTGCAGCCCTTTAATACAGAACCTAAGAGGGTAGAAGGAACAATTTTCCTCCTTGACATCATTAATAGCAACAGAATGAGTCTGTTGTCCCTGCAGGGTTTGCAGATGTTTCAAACTCAGATTAGTGACTCTTAGTTAAAGGAGCCTGGTAAGGGGGTTTTATGTAAAATGACTGAGCCCCATATCCCCCCAAAGAACTGGAGACTTAGGAATACTTTGGTGAATACCCTACTCTGAATTCTCTTTCACTTTGTACATTTATCTATCATAGTATGAGCATACTGGAGTGGTATTAATATGTTTTAAGATTGTTTCATTTGTTCAACCCTGAACTTCTAAGGACAAAATAGCAATGTTCATTTTTATAAACCCTGTGCTTAGTAATAGGTTCTTGTGAATTTCCACTGACTTAAAAAAAAAAGGATATGTTGATAAAAAGCTTACACACTAGTTGAAGAAAATGGAAAGTATTAGAGATACCAAAAAGAAACCACACATCAGTCACCCACCAACCAGGTATATTACCACTGTTACTGTTTTGCTCTGTTTCCTTCAGGTTCTGTTGAATGTTTGTTCTCTTGAATGAAGCAATGCAAAGAAAAAAACATGCACTTAAAACTACAGACTCCCTGGTGCAATGGAATGTTCCAAGGGCTTATCTGGAGGTTTCTGGCCCCCTTTTGGAAGTACCACTTTGTTATTGCCACAAAGAGAGAAGGTTCTTTCCGAAGGAACTGCTGAGTCCCCCATCCCCATGCACTTTTGCCCAGAACTCTGACCACTTGCCAGGATGGAGAGCTGGTTGGAAGGTAAGAGTATTGAAAGGGAAGGACAAGTCGGCACTCAGTCTGGACCACCTTGCCCCACCTTGACGTTCTTTGAATCTAAATAAGCAAATAGCTGTTTAATTTACACAAAGAAAGTATCGCTAGCCACCAATTTCTTTAGTAATAATCAAGTATGTGTTTTTTATGGTTTGCTATTTAAAAACCCACACAATGAGAGAAAGAAAAAGGTCAATAGTCGCTTTAGCTTGACTTAGTTTTCCTATCTTATTTAAATATTTTGCAACGTCTGGGGAAGTGGGTGTTGAAGATAAAGACTTCCAAGGTCATAACTGGTCACTTTTCCCAGCTTCTGTGGTTTCATTTGCTGCAGCCCAGTGGTCCATGAAGATGCTGCTCTTTGGGGCAATGCTTCCCTAGGTGGCAAAGGTAGATGGGGAAGGCACTTGAGAAGTGGCTTCCCAGAGATCCCTTTGACAGATTGATTTCTGCTTCTCCTTTTTAAGGATGGAAAGATGATCCTGCCTTCCCTCCGTAGTTGGAGACTTGGGACCGGTGAGGTCTGGTTACAGCTCCTGAAATGTCACGTGGATAGTCCATGATGGTGTGCAGGTAAGAAGAAACCCAGTCTAGTTGCCCTTTTCTCTACCAGGTTAAATTTAATACAAAGCCCTTTCCTGATTAGAAAACAATTGAATATATAGTAATGGTGGAGAATATGAGCCATCAGTTCTATTACAGCCAAAGGCAGTAACTTCTCTTTTCCCTTAAGTGAAAAGAGAGCAGAGAATGAGTTGCGGTGAATCCAGAGAGTGAAATTTCTGAACATCTGCCTGTGATATATGAGAGGGAACATTTCTACTGGGCAGTGTGGGGGGCCAAGGAGTATTTGTGGTCAGGGGGAGGGAACAGGACACAGCTCTCCCACCACGGCATATGGTGTCAGGGATGTGATATAGCTGTGTCATTAAGAGAAGGTCTGAAGGAAGGGCTTCTCTTAGGGATGAAGAAAATTAAAAGAACTAAGAACAGAGACATAGCAGAAGAGAGCAGTGACAATAGCTCTCAATTTAAAATGGTCATGAAAGACAGAGAAAGACCAGGTAGCAGATTCTGGTAACCAAGAACTCATACCAGGTTAAAGACTAAAGAATAGAACAACAAACCTCAGATGTGAGATCCAAGATCAGATCCTGGGCCAGGAAAAAAGAATTTTGTGTGTGTGTGCTATAAAGGACATTAGTGGGACACTGGTCAGTTTGAATAAGGTCCATAGGTGAAATAGAATTATACGAATTTCCTGATTTTGTGTCTGCTAGCTACTCTCAAACAATTCAGGGCAAAAAAATGTTTATATCCATTATCTGTCAAGAAGTATGTGATCAAGCAAAGAAAGTAAAATGTTAACATTTGTGGAATCTGGTAAAGAGATCATGGAATTCTTTACATTATTTTTCGTAAGTGTGAAACGATTTTAAGTAAAAGGTAAAGATATTTTTTAAAGGAATGTTATTTTAAAAACACTGCTACACTCTTTTTAAATCTGGTAACAAGACCTTTTAAAGATTACAGTTTTGAAAGGTTTAAATATTAAGAAAATAGGTTTCCATTACTGCTGGGTTATTCTTCGAAAGTCCGATTCTCCAGACTGGACGACTTGCTCTTCAGTGTCTTACGAAATGTTTGTTCTGCCTTCAGACATACAAAAAGTTACCAGCCAGTAAGATATCAAGTGATAAGTTACTTCATGGTTCTGTTCTTCTGTCATTTTAGACTCTGAATCAAAGACTAAATAAATAAATGCTTTCATGTTAATTCCTTTCTTCTCCCCCACCCCCTTGACAAAATGGCACCTCATGGGGATATGCTTACTCTGGGGAACTATACTGAAGAGAACATGAGATTTGGCTCCAAATGATCTAAACTTAAGTCCCAAGATCTAATGCTTATTAGTTATGTATCCTTGATTAATCAACTTAATCTGTACGATCACCAGTTTCCCCATGTAAAATGAGGTTAAGTAATATTTGTTCTACTTCACTTTTTAGAATTCTTGAAACATCCAGGTTAAAAGAATACTTTGGAATGCTTTGAAGAATGCTCCACAGGTGTTGTTTGTTATTGGTTATGGAATTTTGTATAAAGCTGATGTGGGATGGGATGGGATGGGATGTTGTACCTCCATGACCCTCTTTCTATACTATTTTGACTTGCCTGACACATTGTCTATGGCATAGACCTAGGGGATAATCTGACTCAGCACCTTCCAGAGCCTTGAGTTGATATTAATGAAAACAGCTACCATTAGTTGGCCAAACACCTCCCAGGTTCTAGGCTCTTTGCAACCACTCATCCTTATGAAAAGCCCTGATTTGAGAAGCAGAAACTAACTAAAGCTCAGAAAGATGACATGACTTGATACAGGAAGCAGAGCTACCAAGTAGCAGATTCTGGATGTGAACCCAAGTCTCGATGACTCCACAGCCTGAGTGCCTTCCATGATGTCACCCTGGGTCTCTGGTAGTCAGTGACCAGAAGCCAGTAGTGACTGTGGAAAATGAACTCAAAGATAGAGTAGTTTTGCCTTGTGGGTAGTACCCAAGAGGCTTAAATTAGATCCATGGAGAACTGGGCTTTGAGTGTGATGTTATCCACGTTTCAAATTCTCCATCATCTAGACATCCACTCCAGCAAAATAAAATGTGGTTTAAGATTGGGAACTCAAAGGGGTACTCCACTTGGGGTGGTGTCTACAAGGCAGAAAGAGTTTCTCATTTCTTACCCATGTTTCAAACATGTCTTCTGGACGCAGGCGACGTAGGGTGGGTCTGAAAAAAACAAAGATGAGCTTCTTTGAGTGGGGATTACCAAGGCAAACACCACAGCCTCAGCGTAGTGAATATAAAATGAGATGCTAGTTCATTTGCAAGGGCATGAAGAGCTCTAGAAATCTCCCCTAAGGAAATGGAGCTGTTCTACCCTGCTACATCACACAGGGAGCTAGCTGGGCCTGAAGCTCCCAGCCTTTTCACAGATCCATTTGATCCAAGGATTATATAAAGACTATTAGAGGGACCCCTGGGTGACTCAGTGGATTAGGCATCTAACTATTATTGATCTCAGTTCAGGTCTTGATCTCACAGTCATAAAGTTCAAGCCCTGTGTTAGGCTCCACTCTAAGTGTGGAGCCAAATAAATAAGGAAATAAAGTCGATTACAAACAATGGGTCAGAGGGTACAGGGTTAGCTTATTCCTAGGGCAAGAAGCCATTTCCTTCCTCATAGATAGGGCCCACGGCTCAAAGCCCAGAGCAGGCCCAGAATGAGGACACCTGGGAGAAGAAGCAGAAGTAGTGGTTCTCCCAAGCCAGGACTGCATTGTCGTATCATCAAGATCATCATTCAAAAGCTCTTTAGGGATGTTTGGAGGAACAAGTAAAATTATATTTTGTTCATGGTTTTATTTCCTTCTGAATGTTGGCAAATTGTATTAGACACACAGAAATTTCCTTCTCCAAATGCTGCCTCCCTATGGGGACCAGGACAACCAGGTGATGGAGTCATAGTGCTCCAGGTTCAGTGGACATATCTGAGCAGGCGTTGGAGAGGGAGGGTGGTGTGCCGATGTGTTGAACCCACTACCACATTCCATGTTTCAATATTGTCCCTCCCTCAAGAGCAGGGGTCAGCCAACCATAGCTGGTGGGCCAAATCCAGCCAGTGCCTCCTATGCTTATAAATAAGCTTTTATTGGGATACAGCCACACCCATTTGTTTACATACTGTCTACAGCTGCTTTCACACTACACAGCAAGGTTGAGTATTACAACAGAAACCATCTGGCCAACAGAACCTGAAATATTTATTCTCTGGCCCTTTACGGAAAAAGTTCGCTGATCCATGCTAGAGCTACTCTAAGTGGTATCAAATATGCCTCTCCCAGAAGTCTATGTATTAAACATGCATCCATGGCTAAGTTATTTAACTACTCTGAGCCCAATCCCTTGATCTGTAACATCAGGATAGTAATAATACTCCATAATGTTGAATATTAGATAAAATAGCTTCTATAAGCACCTGGCATGGTATTTGGCATATAAGAGGCTGACAGTAAATCTCTATTATTATTATTGTAGAATATGACTTGTAACTTACTCCGACTCAGAGGGGATTTGCTGATTGTGGAGAGTTGATCTACCTTGTTTGCAAGTATAGACCCATATTCAGAAAAGGTAGCAATATCGCTGCCCAACTGATCAATGACCAACAAAGCCATACTACTGATTTCAGTTCTTCTGGGGTAGTAACTCCAGGTTATTGCTCTTGGGAGGCCTAAAAATGTTAGGACTGAGAGGTTCTTCTCCATCCCCCAGGCCTTAGACCACTGCCTGTCCCCCACCCACCATCCCCTGCATGTCATCTGAGGCACCTTTGGTGCTCCTTCACAAACTCCACGATCTCCTCTTCTGTGTAAGGTTTGTCAGGGATGGCAATGGGCTCATCCATAAATGGCTCATAGAAGTCAACCTCATTCATCTTCAAGGACAATTTCTTTGCAACCTGTAACAATTAGAAACATAACAATAATTTCCTTGAATGCTAGTCTAGAGTAGCAGTGGGTTGCCCATCTATAAGAAGTGTGTGTGTTTTCTGGAAAAGATATGAGAGTATACCTACAGTTTTAACTTAAATGTTGAAGTGGTAGAAACTCATTGCCTAAGCCCTAGCTCGACCAATCAGAGAAGGACAAATCAAGGAAAAACCCTCTTTGGCAAATGAGATCCAACCAGGAGAAGGGAGCGGTAGGAATGAAAAGTGGGAAATCTAACTGTACAATCATCATCACTCCACTCTGTGTGCCAGGGCTGGAGAAAGAAGCAAATGTCAACAGAATAGTCTCAGTGTTCTGAGATGCATGGATTTAATTGAACCAATTTGGATAGCACAGGCAATTGACAGAAACCGTTTACAGCACACAAGTACTCAAAATCAGAGGTCAACCCATTAATCTGTCCTTGATCATCTCCTTACCCCTTCTTGTGATTTAGACAGAAGCAGGGTTATCTCTCAGTACTGGCTTGTCCAGTGGTTTCTCAGACTCTGGGAACTGTCTGCTTTGTTACCAGCCAGAAGGTCACCAACCATCCTGCTTTGTCGAAAACAGAGGGATTTCCCAGGGTTCAGACTCTTAAGCTAGAACTGGGATAGTACCCCAGCAACCCAGGATGAGGGGCTCACCCTCTACCAGATAAAAAACACGGGGAGCCAGCTTGCAGCCTGGAAGACGTCTGCTCTCTTGATTAAAGTGGCCACATAGTCTCACTGTTGGGGCAGAATGGGTGCTGTGTTTGCCTGCAGGGCTGCTGAGCTCAAGCCTCTTTTTGTGAAATGATTTGAGAGGCCTGGAATGTGCAATGCTTTGTAGAAAACCAAATGCCATTCTTTTCCCATTTGAGCTGAGGTCCAAGAAAGCACAGGGATGAACAGTGGTTCCCTTGAAACGAAAGAAGAATTGCCTAAGAGCTGACGCCCTGTGGTGGTAACCAACGGTGCAGAGGTCCAGGGCAGCCGTGACTAATTGGGAAGGGGGAGGAACTGGGTATTACATAAACCGTTACACAAGTAAGGCCATTCTGAGCAAACACGGGTGTCCCTATGGCTTTTGTCATCAGTCGCTATTAATTCTGGGTCACCATATTCCAAAAGACATTTCTCATAGGACTTCAGGGAAAGAAACTCTAGCATCCTACCCAGAGCTAAAGAAAACAGGCCATGTTAAGAGCTCCAGTCCATCAAAAGAGATTTATCATCATGTTGATGTGGTTTTGAGGGACAGGGAAGTGTGGGGTCTTTTCTTACTTTTCCCCCTCTTTGACAGGGTGGGGGTGGTGTGGATGCTGGGGTGGGCAGCATGGGAAGGAACCAGCGAACACATAACCAGGGGCTGGGTTTTCACATGTTCTTCACAGAGCCTGGCCCATCAGAAAATGGGCTGAAAATGACACTGGATTCTGGGTTGCTGACTTCACTGATAACATATTTTAGGAACCAGGAAACCGTGCTTAAAGGAAGTGGGGAGTGACCAGATGAAGGAAAACAGTAAAGGTAGTAAGCACCCAGAGGACTCACGCTGGGTCGGGCACTAGTGCGATTGATTACTTTGTACATCTTCACCTGGCTTGCTAAGGTAAAAACCATTATTATTACTTACTTTACAGATAATGAACTGGAGGCCCAGTCTTTGTTTGCAGTTTGTCAAGATCTTGTATGTGGAGGGGAGACAGCCCAAAGCGAATCCCAGACAGTGGTGTGTTCTAAACTATCACCTAGAATGGCAATCTCTTTTCATTCCCAACTTCTGAAGTGTGTGTGTGTGTGTGTGTGTGTGGTCCTTGAATGCCAGTGTCTGGGTATGCAATGTTAAGACCACAAACATGAAGCTGGATGGTGATATTCTTAAGTTTAGGTCTTAGGAAACCAGAAAAAAATTTTCCAGAGGGCTAGTCACTATATCCCACACCATGGAGTGCCCTCAGCCTGTATCCCAAGGAAAGCCCTTTCTCTCATTTTTTTTCAGTTGCATCTTGGCCAATAAACATGCCATCCTTAGCCCTCTGACTCTCTGACTCCATGGGATTCAGATCAGAGGTGTCATAGCTTGGTTTGGTATCAGGATGCAACTATTAGTGCTGGTCCCAAACCTATTAGTGCTGGTCCCAAACCTACAGGTCAGGTAGAATGCCCCCAAGGAGCTCTCTGGAAATGCATGTTCCTGGGCCTGGTCACAACACAAAAAAATACAAGTTTCATCTTAGATGTGGGTCCAGGAATCCATGATTTTAAAAGCTCTTTGGAGGAGACCCCTACGGACATTGGTTCAGCAGTCCTGACATCCCAGTGTCTTCATGGTTCTCTAACTCATATACTATGCTGAATATAACATATTTATTGGTTTGTCTACTTACTTTCTGTCTACCATCTTCTCCTTGTCCCCTCCCCCACCACACTAAACTCTAAATCCCACAGGGGCAGGAATCTGTTTTACTCCTTGTGGTGTCGCTGGTCTTTAGAAGAGATTCCAGCCCATAAAGTGCACTCGATAAATATTCTCTGAGTGAGCAAATGAATGAATAAATGAAAGATACTTCTAGTTGTACGTCTTCCCCACTTGTAGTAAGAGAACTCATCAACCCCATCTTATGTTTTCAGTAGATTCTTTTCTTCGATTCCCTAATGTTTTCAGGAGCTTCAGGATCTTTGCTGTCTCGAAGAGGAGTCTTGCAGTCTTGTATTTTTGAATCTTCTCTGGTCTTTCTCTCCTTCACCTCAGTAATGACCAAGTCCTCTTGTCATCTCCATGTCTGCCAGTTGGCTTTTCATCTTTGGGACTGTATTAGTGCCTCCTTGGCCCTGGCCTCGCCTGACTTCACACCTCTAGGAAACACCTTCCCTCCCCCTAGTCCTTTTGGGCTTCCCTCAGTCTCAACGAAAAGTTCTTGCAGCTCCCTCTTCTGCACCAGCGCCCCCTGCTGGACACCATGAGGCTTCCTTGGGCTCTGGCTCCCTCCCTCACCCACAAATGATGGATGAAATTTTCAGGTCCCAAATGGCACTGAGTCCTCTGCGTGTGACTACTCTTCTTTCCATGTTCCATGTAGAGGTAGAGAGTGTGTCTTTCTCCTTTTAAATGTTGTAAAATCCCACAAGGCTACATGAATGGGGACACTTATGACTCAGTGTCTTACAGAGTTTGGAGTGAAGAGGCTTCTGAGTTTGTAATTATAGCCTGACCTCACCTTCTTCATGGGCCATGGACACAAAACCATATGGTTGGGCTGGGAGGCATGTCTGAAAACCGATACCACCCTGAACTGAACAGTGGGCCACCCTTCAAAGAACTAAGGCTTTCTTTCTTGGCCTAGCCTGCCTGCCTGGTTGTGTTCTCTCAGATGAGTTCTGGCCCCCGGGAGCCACCTCAGTCACTGCTGGCCTGTCGTAATGGAATGGCAGTGATGTATTCAGTTTAGGTCTCCCTTTACCTCCCCTTCTCTGCTAAAGTTCTCACCCAACCTCCATTCCCCTGGGCTTAGATGGCTGCCTTTTATGCACAACAGGACTAGTTAACATTTACTGAATGCTCCCCACATATCAGACTTCAGCCAAGAGCTTCACGTGTATTGTTTCTTTCTCTGCACAGCAGTATGAACACTGACCTGAGATTACGCCTCAGTCTTCATTGCTCCCTTACTGTGTGACCATGGGCAAATCACTTAATCTCTCGGTGCCTTGGCTTCCTTCTATGTAGATTGAGAATACTAATATGTCCTTTATGGGCACTTTGAGATGACTGAAAGAGCTATGTAAACTCTCAGCACAGAGTCTAGCACGTAAAAGCTACTTAGTAAGTGGTAGTTATTATTGCTTTTGGTATTCTTGCTCTGGATCTCTCTAGACTCTAATCCAACCAATTAAGGTAAATTTTCTTCAGGCTTAGATTTTATTACTCAGATTATAGACTCTTCTGGATTATTTTCAATCTAGAGTTTTTAGAGCAGGGCCATATCCACAGAGGTAGTTTGATGTACGCATATACAGGGATTGAATACAACCATTTCTTGTCATACTCCTTCCCTGCTCCAGAACCTACAGGCTTCCTCCTGTTTTTCACAGAATACTTGAACTCCCATGGTATAAAGGCCCACGAGCCCTGCTCTTCAACTGCCTTACCCCTCAGTAGGTCACCCTCTGATGGACTTTGACTTGAATATAATCAGGATTTAGTTTGTCCTAGACTTATTTGTTCTAGTAGATATGGTGACTGAAAGTTTTTAGTTGTGATATGTGTGTGAGTGTGAGAGAGACTCTTATGTGTGTAGGTGTGGCTATGAGTGTGAGTACGTGTGTACTGAGAGTTATATAAGTGTGGGTGTGGGTTTGAGTGTGAGTGTGTGTGAGGAGGTGTGTGTTATGTGTGTACTGTGTGTGTCCTGTTTGTTGTGTGCTTATGTGTGTCAGGTTTGTGTGCTGTGTTTGTTGTGTGTTGTATGTGTGTGTTGGGTGTTTTACATGTGCGTTTTGTATGCATCTTTTGTGTGTTGTGTGTGTCTCTATGTGAATGTGGGTATGTGGGGATACACCCTGAATTTCAAGGGCAGGTACAGAGTCTTCTACTTAAGTGGATGTTACCAAGGAAGGGGCATGGGTGTGCATAGCTGGGATCTCAGCACTACTATTAATTCACTGGAGACCTTGGATATTACTTACTCTTTCTAAATCTGTTTTGTTATATGGGACATGGGACTTCTTGGCTCCCAAAGTTGTTTAAAGGCTTAGAGGTCATAGACATACAATGCATCAAGTTGTACCTGACACACAAAAAGCACTTGATAAGTAGTAGCCATTTTAGTCCTAACTGAAGTTAGAGTACAGTGTTCCACCCACAGTGAACTCCAAAAAAATTACCCACTGATTCAAGGTCCTTCATATGTGTTCTTTGGCTTACAAAATCATGAGCCACATCCAGAAAGAAAGAAAAATTGAATTACAGGTGAGTATATTAATGACATCTCTTGAAGATAATAGGTAAACTTATGGAAGCACTCCAGGTTTCAGATGACCAGTAGTCCTCCCCATTCCATTCCCCCATCCTAACCCAACAGAAGGGGAAGTATGCACCCCTGGGAAGGGAGAGAATAGCTCTAAAGACAAGGAAGCAGTGACTAGTGTCCTGGCACACTCTGCTCATGCACTGCCCATTCTTAGTGTTCAAGGTGGTTAAAAATGGTTCATCACTTTTCATCAGCTATTTTCAGAAATGAGCTTACTTCCTCTGAATTAATCATCTTTGTATTCATCTCCCATTCAAAAGTGACTTATTGCTGTATTTCTAACACTTCTGGAGAAAGTGTTAATGGATGGAAGATGGCAAATATTTCTAAAATTTAGAAAAGGACTGGGAAGTTCAGATTTTCATCCTTTATACCTACAGAAGTATCCAAATTGGGGTTTCATAGGTACTTACCCCTTTGTCGAAGGTAGCAAAAAATTTGATATAAGGTTGGAAGTGTTCAGCTGCCTCTTCGAAAGCCTTGTAATCTGAGAGAAAAAAAGATCAAAGAAAGAGAACTTTCAAAGATGCATGCCAAAGACATTTCTCTTTTTAAATAATGTAGAGAGAGTGGGGAGCCAATTAATTGTGACTGGAAAATTATTTAGTAGATTATTATCTAGATAGAAAATTATTTAGTTCTATTTATTTTTTTAAAAAATTTTACTTATTTGACAGAGAGAGACACAGCGGGAGAGGGAACACAAGCAGAGGGAGTGGGAGAGGGAGAAGCAGGCTTCTCGCCAAATAGGGAGCCCAATGCGGGGCTCGATCCCAGGACTCCGGGATCATGACCAGAGGTAAAGGCAGACGCTTAATGACTGAGCCACCCAGGTGCCCCTATTTATTGCTATTTAAACCCACAATTTCCCCCAAGGAGTTTGAGTTGACTGGTATTCTATTGAGCTAAAGAAGAACCCTTTACCACATTTTTATGTCTTTTCAGAAATTGGTAGATGGGAAGGAGAAAGTGAAGGAAACTGAGAAAGGGAGAAAAGAGAATATTAGACTCTAAACCCGAGGAAAAAGTTATTCCACTCAGACTCACCATTAGTTATGAGTGTATAAGCACAGCTTCCTATAAGTGACCACCAGGTGAGAAGGAAATCCATCTTAGTATGGAAAACAACCTTAGTCAAAAATGACATCATGAAAGTACTTTAAACTTCTTAGCAGAAGTCCCCCTTTTGGTAAACCCTCATTTTTCTTTCCCTCTTTTTAAGTTTTCATTCTTATTCTGATTCCTTGAGAAGATGATTTAAAATCAATCAAGCCTATGCTTGACTCTGGTTTCAAACTTGAATCCAAACTGGTCATGTTATGCCTGAGACCCATGAGCGTGGCCATGCTGTGCCTTATCACATCTCGTCAGTTACCTGGAGAAGACACTGGTATTTCAGCCTTAGAGGTGAGGGTGATGGGTATGGGAATGCTCTCAGGAGTGGTTCTACATAACATCCATAATCCTGAAAGTTGGTGACACTTTGATTCATTCTTAAGAAGATTAACCTCTTCTCATTTTGTGGAGTTCCCTATCTCTTAATCATTAGAGACATAAGCTTTTGCCTGAGTTCCAGGAGCATGCAGAATTTTTCAAGTCAATCAAAAACATTTCACGATTAATACTGGCTCAGGGAACACAAACATGAGTAAGACAAAGACAATGATCTCAAAGGCACACACCCCAGAGTTGGTATGGACCCTTAAAGAACCACAATGTAATGTGATGGTTGCTAGAATAGAGGTAAGTGCAATAAACACAGATGAGAGGGGGTTGAAAAATTTACAAGAATGCCCATCCATACTGATACACATTCACACAGACTTCTCCCCATAAAGGTAATTGGTTAGTTGGAAAATACATCATATAGCCTGATAGTTGAGGTAGAGAACTGGGTGGATGGGGAAGAAGATGGGTGAGAGGTTTGGAGAATGAATAGACAGAAGGTGGGAGAGAGTGGAAGGGTTAGGGCCACACCTAAGCGATTTACATCTGTCTAAAACTATAGTGGTCTCCAGCAGAATCATCTGTATCCTCCCTCCCTCACCCCCTTGTCCCTGATGAATCTCTCCCCACGTCCTTGAACTCCTCCCCTGCTGGAAAGGATGGCCTACACCTGTGTCCAGAGAATTCCCTTCTTCACCTAGGGAACCAATCTGTATCCCTTTTAAGATGAAAAAGGGTAGAGCAAGATAATTCCCCCAAGGTGACACTTCAAACTGTGGTTGAACCTTTAGCCTTTCCCAAATAGTGGTTGTCTTCTAGGGTACCTGGTCTAATCTGCTCTGTTTGATGTCATGTGACATCAGGTTTTTCCTGCCCTCATGTCCTGTTCTGATGCTGACCAGCTCCTTCCTGGCTCTTCCAGTCTGACCCTCCGTTTCCCCTTCTGGAATAGGCTCCTGAACAATCAGCCTTTAACTGCCAGCTTAGTGCATACTGCATTTCCTCACCTTTCTTCCCATCTCTCAGGGTTTTCCATACTGGATACTGGCTACCCACCTCCAGATTTCCCCCAGTTTGGCATTCTTAACTATCTGCTGAGTTCCCCTCAGAAGTTCCTGTCACCCTCTCTCAACGCTAGCATCCATAGCTATGTGCTCAAGTTGGATGTGAAATTTCATACCCAACTTCTTTGGAAGATGTAGCCCCCCAATTCTTCCAAGTCCTTTCTAATTTGATCTTCTATATCTTAGGAGACTTTTCTCCCAAACAATTCCAGTCTACCTCTGTGTTCAAGCCCTCTAGTTCTCCACTGTCCTTTCATTTCTCTGTAGGATAGCTTGGGATCATTTTGCAAAGCCAATGTCTCTGTGCCATTAAATTTCCTTGATCAGTCACCCTCAAACTACAGCAGAAATACAGGATTCTTCCTGAGTGCTTCCCCTGGGTACCTTCCCAACTCCCCACCTATGGACCCCATGCTCTTTTGGATGGCAAGAAGAAACAGGGAGACGTGAATGTCTGATAGAACTTCGTGATGCTTTCAGTCAGTGTGTAACAGCCATACATTTTTTGTGGTGATAAAACTTTCTGCATGTTTTCTATAACCATTCAAAATTTCACAGTAGTTAATATTATATCTGAAAGTGTAAACTTATTGTATTCTATAATATTTTCTGACTAAGATGTCGACAAGCATGACAGCTGGAGAGATCCTTGGGGAAACTGCTTCTTCACCAGGTCTTCTCAGTTGGTGTGATTGTGACTCTAGTCCAAGTTAGTTTGTCATTAGTAATGTTTTTCTGTTTGTGATACTATAAAATATTCAGGGTTTGGGTTTTTTTTTTGTTTTGATTTCATACACTTGAATGTTCATATTGTCTACTAACATCAATGGAATGAATGTATGACTGCTATTCTTTATCATGTTCAACATCATCATCGGTATTACTAACATGATCTGGGCTTAGACTTTCCTAAAGACAAAGTTTGTCAATTTAAAGATAAAAATTCAACCTTAAAAAGGAAGTTGAGGGGCGCCTGGGTGGCTCAGTGGGTTAAAGCTCTGCCTTCGGCTCAGGGCGGGATCCCAGGGTCCTGGGATCGAGCCCCGAATCGGGCTCTCCGCTCAGCGGGGAGCCCGCTTCCCCCTCTCTCTCCTTCTGCCTGCCTCTCTGCCTACTTGTGATCTCTGTCTGTCAAATAAATAAAAATCTTAAAAAAAAAAGGAAGTTGAAATGGCTCGCCAGTGATTTTATTACTTAAATCTCCAGAAAAAAATCTCTAAGATTAGTAGAACTTGATCTGTGTATTCTTAAGGAAATGCTTCATTATTATTTTTGAAGTATATAATATGGAAAACTTTGAATTTGAAATCTATTCAAATTAAAAGAATATTACATTTGCCGGTGAAAATGAAAGTAATAGCCATTAGGACTGAAGCAATGCTCATGCCCTTGAAGGACAATTTAGAGATCAGATTTCCTAAATTCCACTTTAGGAAAGACCACTCATCAATCAGAGGAAAAGCAGTAACTATTGCCTTGTCATTTGCCGCCATCCACCTGTTCAAGCAAAGTCTCTTGTTGACTGTGACCATCAAGAAGAGATTGTTTAAACCCTTCACCAGGAGTTGCGTGTCATTGTTTCAAAAGCTATAGTTTTAGAAGGAAGTACAACATTCTCATTCAAAAAAATCTAAAAATATTTTATTTGGAGGATTTATACAAGGCAATATTGAAAACTTTTCTATTATCTTCTTTTACTATTATTATTATTAGTAGTAGTATATAAAGAAAGCAAAAGAATCTTTTGTTTTGTTTTGTTTTTTTGTTTTTCTACTAAGTCCAAATCCTCTCCAGTTTACCCCACAGGCTGGGCAAACATCACCACATTTTGTGTGTGCCATGACCTAAAAAAGTGTGTAAAATCTTGAAAGTACAAAATGGTGTTTTAAGTGTGCAAGATATAAAGTCAGATTGCTAGGTTTTAAATCTTAGCTGTAGGATTTATTTACTAGCTGTGTGATAGTGAGCTAATTTAACTTTTTTGTTCTTTTCATTTCTTCCTTATCAAAACACTGATAATATGGTAACTGCCTTACAGGCTAGTAGTGAGAAAGAAGGTGAGGTGTCACTATGGAGCTCCTGGCATAGACCCTGGTACGTGACATGTGTTGATTAAATGGAGTTGTTTTTGTCACTGTCTTAGTAGGGAGGAGAGAAACTAGAAGATGTGCTCTTTATCCCAATCTGTGCCTTGCTTTCCTTCTTACCTGCTATTCTGAGCTTAATGGAGGGGAGAGAAACAGAGGACAAAAGAGTGAAGGGTGGGGACAGAAATGGATAAAGGGAAATAGAAAGAAGTTAAGGAGAAAGAAGAAGGAGGCAGCTGGGGCACCCCAGAGTAGTCAGCATCTATAAGAAACATAAAAATTGAAATGAAGTCACCCAAAGGAGGGCTGGGCAAACTTCTCTGGATAGCCACCTTCCCCCCAGATACAGGCTTTTATATAGCACAAGAGAAGGCAGCTAAGTCTGGTCACAGGAGCAGGAAAGTAGGTGGCTTGCTGGTGAGAAGGCCGAGGGTGCCCGCTGGCATACAGGCAAAGAAACAGCTTTGCCAATAATTTTCAAAATATTTTGGAGTTTCCAGAAACATCATAAGCAGCCCTCCTTTGCATGTTCCCCATGTACTAATGCTACCAGATCCTCTTTTGTGGTTATGCCGCAGCTGAGGCTCCAGAAAAAGTCTTACCTCATTGGGCATTGCTGCCAAAGTTGTTTAAAAAGACGTACTCCAGGAGTTAGCTTGCCTGGTCCCTCCTTTTCCTGACTCCCAGTCTCCGCTCTCTCACTCCCATATGGATTGTGATGACGCTATGATGCATTCCTGTGCCCACCCAAAACCTGACCACAAAACGTTCAAAGGGATTACACCCAGGGGTGAGGCTGTGCTGTTGAGGGCAGCTTTGGTGGTCGACTGTGGGCTTGGCCAGCAATTTTCCACATTGTGTGACAGCGGCTGAGCCCTGCCCACCCAAATTTTCCTCTAATCCTGTCCAAGTGACTGAGAAGCTCTCCAACTGGCGGCCACAGGAACTGCCAACATCAGGGAGAGAGCCCACTCTTTACCTATTTTAGGGAAGAGTCCCACTGGTAGGTGGGCAAGTAGAAAAGGGGAAGGAAGACTTTTCTCTCTATAAAACATGCTCCTCCCAAGACCAGGGAACATGGCCCAACCTTTATGCTCTTTCAACATCCCTGCCTGCTTTGCATACTTTTTGCAGATGGGTCCCATTACACAGGGTGCGAGGACAATTCTCCCTTTATTCCACCCAGCACCGGATACGCTGATGGCCCATCCTCTTCATCGGCAGCATTCTAAATAACTGGTGGGGAATTTAGCCTTTAGACTCACAGGTGGGGCTCAGAAAACTTACACTCCGAGTCCTCACTCTTGAAAAAGCCAATGAGTTTGATCTGGTCCTCAATGCGTTCGAAGGCTTGGACCTCCAGCTTGCTGTTGATGATCTCCACAGGGTCTTCAATTAGCTGGAATGCCACACACATGTACAGAAGATATGTTCAGTGAGAAAAATGTTCCCTCCTCAGTGGGGACATCAGGCATACGCGTAGGACGCTTTGGCAGGGAGCTGTGGACCCCATCCTCCTCCAGAGCACACAGCAACAGTGCCTTCTGAGGAATCAGCTTAACTCAAGGGGTAGGCTGACACTAGACAATTCTATTTCTCTTCTCCATTATCAATTTCTGAATGGCATGTGACCCAACTCTGGCCAGTGATTCTTCGGGTAGATTTGCTGAGAGCTTTGGGGAAATTCTCCTTTCCTTCCAGGAGAACAGTGGAAGCCAGGTCCTCTCCCCTAGCCCGCACCACTCATTGGATATGAATGAGGAGATGTGACATATCAGCTCCAATCACTGGTTGTCTTACAAGCAACTAGAAAAGAGTCAGCTTGAGGACAAAGCCAACACACTGAAGAGAGCATGATCTCTGATTTATCAGTCAGTCTAAAATCTGCCCTCCCTCTGCTGTTCCATTTGTGCTTTTTGTGTAGTTGGGCATGAGCTCTGTCATGTGCATCTAAAAGCCTCCACTTAGCTGATAGAGATTGGCCCAGAATTTTCTGTTGCCTCCCTCACTTTTTTTTAGGTCTTGCAGGGATGGGTCCAGGAGAGAGCCAGGCAGAGTCTATGGGTGTTTTTTTTTGTTTTTTTGTTTTTTTTTTTTGTTTTTTTTTTTTTGCAGGAGGTGGCTTTCCACTCACTTCTGACTCACTCTCTCTGGGTTTTTGAGACCATGAGGAAAAGGCACCAGGCCACCGTGTGTTAGCTGGTAGACAAGGAATCATCTGTATGGATATCATTTACCAGCACAGGAATCTGTTCAAAAGCATTCAGCTTCATGGCTATTATGGAAAGTATGAGTTTATTTATGGATAACATATTTTTATAGTGTTGTTCCTCTATGTGACTGAGCAGATGGCTCTGAGAGTGTTGTACCCCCAGGGCTGAGAGGGACTGTGATATTGGGAGGCTCGTTAGCCCTGCTCTTTATCCTGCTCTGACGGTAACTCAGCTGATTATTACTTCATCTTTGGGTGATTATCCACCTCTCCTTCCCACTCTCCCCAGCTCTTCTTCAGAAGCCCTAGAACAAAGCCAAGGGGATTTCAGGAGATGGTGATGTCGAATTGCTAAGAAACTTAATGTGTTACTACAACACAGTCCCGATTAGTGACCCCTAATAAAACAATTTCTGAGGTAACTTAAGGACCAGCTTCCCACCAGAAGAAAAATAGCACTGCGAAGTAAGTCCTCCTTAGTTTTTTGTGAAGCCCGAGGAATCAGTCTTAGACCAGGACAGATTATCCAGCTTCTTGGTTCTTACTTTGGGATTTCACTTTCCTTTATATTTGAACCCAAAGAGCCCCAGGCAGGACCACTGTGCATAAATGCTTACATCCAGAAGAAATTCCACCAGGACGTCAGCAGCAAACTCTCCATCAAACTCAATCGTACGATCACCCTTAAGAACATACAGGCTTCCTTCTTCATCAAAACCTGGAAGAAACAAAGAGTCCACAAGACAAGGTCATTCCGATGCAAGAAGAGCCATCCTGTGGGCTGACGTCTGGCTCAGGATCCCTGGGTGATAGTGAGGTCAGGATCAGTGGGGCCGGCATTCAACTTAGGATCAGTTCCTTGAAAACACCCCTGTAAAGGGCACCCAAAGCACATGTTTAAACTGAAATCGTTAAGAACCAGCAGCTCTACCAGGACTTCAGTTTGAAAGAAAAATCTATTCTCTGCCCTACCACTGCTTTAATTTTCCAAAAATTTTGCCAACCCTATTCTCCCTACCAAAGGTTTTATTGCCCCCTGCCCACTTGACTTCTTACCCAGGCATTCCAGATTCCAGTCCCTCCACAACCTAGCACCAATTCTACCCTTCACATTCTCTCCTGGGTAGACCTGCCCTCTTAATCCCCGTGCATCTTCCTTGCTTCTTGCCCTTGTGCTGATGTGAGAGGGTGTGTAAAGGAAAAATCACAGATATTCTCCTGGTTCCCCAAATTTGGAGTGACTTCTACCCTTGCCCCCCGCACCCCAATCCTGGTCAGTTCCTTCGGGTCTCCACTTTGGACTCATTTTTCCCAAGAAGGCCACCCTCTTGCCACTATTGTTCTTCTCTTGGCTCCATTTACAGTACTCACCGGAACAGAAAACTCTCCAAAGGCAGAACCAAGGTCCCCTCAGCACCCCAGGATCTTGCACAGAGCCTGGACACATCAGGGACCCCAAAAATGTCTGTGGCCAGAATGAAAAGTTTACTTTTCTATCATCGCTGAATTCTGCACATCTTCTTTTTCCCAGTTAGCTGATAATGCCACAAGGAAAGGTTCTGCATCTTTTCTACCCTCCATTGCTCCTGGCGTAATACTGTGTGCTTTAACAAATGTTTGCTGGAAAACTGTTTCCCCAGGAATATTAAATAACCGAGGCTGGCATTTAGTTCAACTGCATGGCATCCTTGAATCCTTAGATTAATTTTTTCCAAGCTCTCTATTAGCTGGAGAATTCTTTCTCCAATTGAACTGTCCTGCAGAATCTCTAGGGAAAAGGAGGCTGGCCCACCACCTGCTGTATCCCACCCAGAGCGTGTCTGAAGAGCCCAGGGCACACCCTGGAGCACCATTTGTAAACCCAAAGGACCGCTGTACCAGGTATCCTTGAGGCCAACAATGACCGATCATGAAGGGTACCTTGGGAACATCAGCTGATATCCCGATGTCAGATTTTGCTCTAAGTGAGGTCAGTGAGGAGGCTTTTGTAGTAGTTCAGGCATAGCCTGATGGAGACAAAACTCAGGCAAATGGAAGAGAAGAGAAGATGAAGGAGCAGCTTCACAAAATACAACTCTCCTACAAACTCTGAGAACTATTTGGTTCAAAAGAACCTCCCCCAGTTCCTCCAGGGTGAGCTTTTCAGGAAAAGATCATGTCGATTTTTCAAGCTCCATCCACTGGGAGAATATCCTTTGGTCCATTCTTATGAAAGCTCACCCAGCTTGTCCCCTGGCTAAATTTTTAGATCACTGGAATACTAGTGCTTTCCTCTAACTAAATTTACTGGAAGTTCTCCCAAATTAAGCTTCCCATGAAAACAACAGGAAAGAAAACTAGGGAATCAATAAATTCTGGAGGAAGAGAAACATGGCATTGAATGGCTTTTGACTGGGGAAAGAGTTAACACACTTAGTTCTCCTGTTCAAAGGGAAAACATATTCCTTTATTTGTCTCCAGGGAAAACAATACCCCAGACATTCTTAATAATTCATTATCATTTTATAGTCATGACTTTTTATTTATATCTAACCTAAATACAGTCGCAAAAAATTTAAATCTTAAAAAAAAAAGCTGGTCTTCTTGAAAATATAATAAAGGACAATTGTTTGTAATGCCCTCAGATAATGAACTTCCATGTACCTGACGCCACTACTAATCTTTTCTCCCCCACTGTGTTTACTACTCCAAATCCAATTAACCTTTCGTCAAAGGTCCTGTTTTATAACCTCCTGCTATTTCTAAATAGCCGTTCTTCACTGGTCATGCAGAAAAGGCAAAATGGGCAGTACCCGTGTGTGGGTGTTCAGCAAGCAGAGGAACTCCCCATATTCTTTCTCTCTTGGCATTAGGGGTGTGAGATTCTTAAAGTGCACTTGGACTTAAGCAAGACACATGGACACAAGATATCCCAACATGCACTGTGCGGTCACATCGCCGTGCCTCATCTAAATGCTCCCTCTCGCCCTCAGCAATTATGCCCAGTTGAGGTTTAGCTTTACACGTAGAACCACTGTGACCCCAGAGTCACTACTATTACTGCTATCTTGTGTTGGCTGCTTCATTCATGAGGTAAGGAAATAATAGTGACGGGAGAAGAGATTTTTCTCTTCCCCAGAGAGATCACCATGGCAGTGACATAAAGAGGCTAGGCTTTTAACCCCCTCTAGGAGCCAAAAAGAAAGGTTTGCCTCTTTTGCGTCAGTTTCTATGATGATGCAAAGCTACATTAGATCATTCATGTAAAATCATTCAATTCAGGCCAATACTGCTTTCATGAAACTCTTCCCCATCCCAAGAATGAGGTGTGCAGAATCATTTAATATTTGCTTAAAAATAGTCTAGCTATCATGCACAAAGAAATGAAACTGTGCTCTTTTTTTTTTGCAAGACACATTCATTTCTTCCTGGTATACCTCAGAAAGTCCCACTTACCCAGTTTCTTGGCAAGCTTGGCTTCTTTCTTGGCATCCACTGTCACAAAGCCTATATCTTTATGTTCCAGGACCTGGGCCACAAGCTGAAGGAGAAGACAAGCCAGAGGGTGAGCAGACCGAGGGCAGAAAGATGGCAGAAAACATCATGGGATAATATTATGACGTAATAACAAGAGGATTTTCCTCCATATGTCCTGCTAATCTGACCAATTCAAACAGCATAAAGGGATTCCATGCTATCCCCTCAGCAGAAGGATGGTTTAGCAGAAGGCTGAGAACCAAAGAGAGAAAAAAATGTGAGAATCCTAAGATATAGGATTTGGAAGACTATATCCACTGTCCCATACCCTCCTCAACCCTCAGGGTGGATAAACTTTGAATTGAGGAGGTAGGACTCAAACAGGAAGCCAAGAATACTTGGATGACCATGGATACATGACAAGAGGCTCAGAGTCCCTTGCTAGCCACCATTTGAACCTGGAGTCAGGTGGCGGCACGAGAGTTCACAATGTGCCCTGTGTGGTCACTTAACCGTGCCCCATCTAAATCCTCCCTCTCGGTCTTGAAAAAACTGAGGAACACCAGAAAAGCTGAGGAAAACAAAGGAGACTGGTGTCCGCAATACCCAAGTACAGTTCTTGAGCTCCCTCAACCCCTGGGCTTGTGGAGTAGGAATGTGCACTGGGTGTGTCAGGCCGATAGATCCAAGATGGCCCCTGAAGTGTTCCTGCGGCCCACAGAGCGGAAGAACCAGTGGAACAGAACCATCAGCCACAACAGGGAAGAGCATGCAACAGTGTCCTAGGGGGACAGATGGCTGGAAGCTACTCTGGGTAGACACCAGAACAGATGATGATGTCAAGCGCGAGACTGGCATTATGTTAACCTCCCTGAAACTCAGTTCTAAGGAAGCAGGGAGGCCCTGACAGACTGAGGTCTAAGTCCTGCCATTTGGCGAATGGGGGCTTAAATAGAAACAGTGGAGGAGCTACCAGAGAGATCACAAAATATTAATATCACTTTTCTTTAAACTTTTTTAAAAAGGTAATTGTAAATTACTGTGCAATTCTAAGAAATAATACAGAGATCCCTTGTACATCTTGGTTTTCCCCAAAGTAACATCTTGCAAGACTGCCATACAATATTGCAAACTAGACTTTGACATTGATATGGTCAAGGTACAGAATATTTCTGTAACCACAAGGACCCCTCATGTTACCCCTTTATAGTCCTATCTGCTTGTTCCTGCCCTCATCCCCTTCCTAAAAGATTTCTATAAACTTTTCACTTCAAGAATGTTATATAAGTTGAATCATGTAGTATGTAACCTTTTCGGATTATCTTCTTTAACCACCATATTTCTCTGGAGAGTCATTGAGATTTTTGTGTATATCAAAAGGCCATTTATTTTTTAAATTGCTCCATGGTATGGAGGTACTACGGTTTGGTCAATTAGTCATCCTTGAAGGACATCTGGGTTGTTTAAAGTTTTTGGCTATCATGAAGAAAGCTGCTACAACCATTAATGCACAAGTTTTTTGTGAAGGTTGGTTTTAATTACTCTAGGAAACATGTTCAGGAACGTGATTGCTGAGTATAGTAATTGCATGTTTAGCGTTTAAGGAAACTGCCAAACTGTCTAACCAAGTAGCTGTACATTCCCACCAGCAACGTAGTGATGATTGATCTAGTTCTTCTACATGTTTGCGAGCATTTGGGGTTGTCATTATTTTTAATTTTAGCCATTTTAACAGATATGTAGTGACATTTCATTATGTTTTAATTTGTATTTCCCTAATGTCTAATGAGGCCGAACATTTTTTCATGTACTTATTTGACATCTATGTCTTCTTTTCCATGAAATTCTTGTTCAGGTCTTTGCCTATTCATTAAATGGGTTGCTTTTTGATTGTTGAATTTTGAGAGCTTTTAAATTTTAGCTCTTTGTCAGAGATGTGGTTTATGAATATTTCTCCCACTCCATAGCTTATCATTTTTATCCTGTTAATAGGATCTTTCACAGAAGAAAAGTTGTTAATTTTGATGAAGTCCAATTTATCAGTTTCTCCATTTATATGTTGGGCCTTTGGTGTTAAGTCTGAGAACTCATTGTTTAGCCCTGTATCCTGAAATTTTCTCCTAATTCTTTCTCTAAAAAATTTTTGTGAAAAATTATTTATTTACTTGAGAGAGAGAGAGAGAGAGAGAGCAAGCAGAGGGAGGGGTAAAGGGAGAGAGAGAATCCTGTAGCAGACTCCCCACTGAGCAGGGAGTCTGATACAGGGCTCCATCCCAAGACCCTGAGATCATGACCTGAGCTGAAATCAAGAACATGATGCTTAGAGGGTGTGTGGGTGGCTCGGATGATTAAATGGCTGCCTTCGGCTCAGGTCGTGATCTCTAGGTCCTAGGATTGAGCCCCATGTCAGCCTCCCAGCTCAGTAGGAAATCTGCTTCTCCCTCTGCTTCTGCCTCTCCCCCTTGCTTGTGCTCTCTTTCTCTCTCTCTCCAAAGAATAAATAAAATCTTTAAAAAAAAATTGGATGCTTAACCAACTGAGCCACCCAGGTGCCCCTCTTTTTCTAAAATTTGTATATTTTTAATTTTACTTTTAATTTCATGATCCATTTTGAGCTATATTTAGGTAAAGTGTGAGATTTATGTTGAAGTTCTTTTTTTTTTTCTGTTCAGCACTATTGTTAAAAAGTCCATCTCTCCTCCATTGAATTGCTTTTGCACCTTTGTGCGTATCAGTTGACATAATTATATGGCTCTATTGCTGCTTTCTCTCTTCTGTCTGCCAATATCACATGGTCTTGATAGCAGTAGCTATAAAATAGACCTCGAAGGTGAGTAGACTGCCTCTTCCCAGACGATTCTTTTTTTTTTTTTTTAAGATTTTATTTTTATGTAACGTCTACACCCAACATGGGTCTCAAACTCACAATCCCAAGATCAAAAGTTGCATGTTTCCCTGACTGAGCCAGTCAGGCACCCCCACACGATTCTTCTTTTTCAAAGTTGCTTTAGCTAGTTTAGTTTCTTTGCATTTCCATATAAAATTTAGAATAATTTTGTCTATAATTACAAAAAATGTTTCTAGGATCTTCACAGGAATTGCATTGAATCTTTAAATCTGCATGTTAACTTGGGGAGAACTGACATATATACTCTATTGTCTTCCAGCTCATGAACATGGTATGCCTCTCCATTTAGTTAGATGATCTTTGACTTCTCTCACCAGGAGTATGTAGTTTTTAGCATACAAGTCTTATGCATGTTTTGTTGGGTTTATACCTAACTATTTAAATGTTTTGAGTGATTTTTTAATAGTATCATATTTTAAATTTTGATGTCCGTATGTTTATGGCCAGTAAATAGATATAGAATTGGTTTATGTATGTTTATCTTGCATCTTGCAACCCTGCTAAACTATTATTCTAAGAGGTTTTTGTTTTGCTTTTGCAGATTCCTTTGGGTTTTCTATGTAGACAATTGTGTCATTTACAAATATGGACAATTTTTACCCCAATCTGTATGCCTTTCATTTTTTTGTGTTCACTTACTGCACCAACAAGAACTTCCAACATTATATTGAATAAAAGTAGTTAAAAGTGGACATCCATGCCTTGTTCTCATTCTTAGGAATTTGTCTACTTTTCCTTTCAGTTCTATCAGTGTTTGTTGCACACATTTTGCTATTTTGTTCTTTGGTGCACATAACTTTAAGATTTCTTGTTTTCTTGGTGGAGTGACCCTGGATCTATTTGGCTCTACAGTCTGTGCTATAAATATATCGGCTTCCTCTTCTGTGGTTGCTTCTCTCATTTTCTCTTCATGTCTCCCTTCACTGTTGCCGGCATCTGTGGCTTCTCCCTTGGATTTCCTTCCTTGTTATAACTTCTTTGAGGACCTTCTTTGCCTATTCATTCTTCCCTTCTTAACCTTCTCACATACTCCTCATTCTCTTTCTTTCTCTCTGCTCCTAACCATTTCTGTTCCTTTAAGGCTAAGCATATTGGTCACAGCTCAGAAGCTGCTCTGTGGAGTGCCCTTGGTGACCAGGGGTGGAGGGGCAGGCAACAAATGGCACCACCTGCCCCTCAGGCAGTTTTCTCTCCTTTCTTGGATTTTGACAAGACTAGGGAAGGCTTAGGATGAAAGACATCATCATCAGTGTTTATGTGATGACTCATCTGAGCTCTCCTGCAATGCTTAAACAGGCCCATCTTTCTGCAAAGTCACTTGGCTTTTGTCTATGGCCTTCAACTTATTAGACAAGGTCATTTCTGAAATGTAGACATACAAGCCACTCTGCCCTATTTAGTGCTATCAAAATGTTGATGTAAATGTTCCCTTGTCTATCATTCAAAAATAATGATGGTGAGACCTAATGGCTTTGTGATATTAGTAAGTTTCCCTACTTCTGGAGCATGAGCCTCTAGCAGTGGTTCCTAAGTGGCAGTATGCATTTAAATCACTGGCTAAAATGGGGCTTCCTGGGCCTCCACACCAGAAAGTAGAGAACAGAGCTGGGGTGGGGTTCAGAAATGTATGTTTTTGTAAGCCGCACTGCCGCACCCATTGATTCTGACACAGCAGATCTCAGGCCACACACCACACTCTGGAAATCACTGCTATAAAAGATTGTCCATTCATCCAAAAGTGATACGGTATCATGTTTTTCAACTGTGATCCTCAGACCCCTGCTTGGCTCTGTTGACCCCTCTGCCTTTGGCACAGGAGAGAAATGCTAATTACAGTAAGAATATAAGTGATGAACTCTGAAAATTGAACAGAAGTTTACCCCTGACCTCTCCTAGGCATACACCACCATGTTTTGTTGGGCATTAGGTCACTGCAAATGTATGCCTCCCCTAGGCATGGAAAGCATGGCATCTATCACCTTATCCGTGTTTCTATGTGACTTTTGAACCCATATGAGTGAGAGGTGCTGTCTCAAACAAGCTCAGTCCTGTTTCTTGGGTTTCTTGTTTAACTAAGCATAATCAGCCACTATCCTAAAAACAGATGACGAACAGAGTTTGGAGTCACAGATGGGCCAGAAACCCATGTTAGCTGA